CAAAACATTAACAAGCAGACAACATCGACTAATCAAAAAGAATATCAACAAACAAAATTATTATAGTAGTAACGCATATATTCATTCGTTTTTGTTTATATTCGTAAAGAACAGAGGAATTTAATTTGTTACGCCAGAAGGGAATTTACGCAGAGCGTTGAGATATAAGGGGATTAGGTTAGGTTACGGGATGAATTATTCATTCGTTTTGGAAGATTGATGATTTGGATGCTCGGAATGCGATTAGTTGTGTTGTATTTATTTGGCTGTGATGAGTTTATAAGCAAAATATGCGGATTAATAAAATCCAGCCAGTTAATTTAATATGCTCGTTGGACAGTCTTGGAATAAATCACATCAAAGTGAATCAGTCTGCAAATGGGACTAGACACGCAGATAACAGAACACATTAGGACTAGTCTAAGCAATGGAATGGCATCATGCCGTTTTTGGCATGGTAATATTCAAACAATGCGATAAATATGATGAATTGTTTGTTATTTCTTCGGTTAGATCATTGAAGCAGATCATTCAGAATCAAAATAGAGACAAGGATGCGATTAACATAGAGACGTACGGATATCCCCAGTTATATATGCTTAGTGATATGGAAGATCCCATATATTGCTTATGAATGAATATGTTCCGAGATATTAACAATAAATAAAAATGTATTGGGAATTTTTTGACGATTTCCTGGGGAAAATTCGAGAGTTTCGATGAAAAGTAATACGTAGTTTTATGATCGACAGTTCAGTGACATTTGAACAGTCAGATTATTCGCATCTGCAGTTAGATCATCTGTATTTAGAGTGGTTCATGTTGGTGTTTCTATTGTTCCTCAAGTTGTATTTGTTTATAAATAGTAATATCACAGAAAACACATGCCATGGTTATCAATAGGCTGTGTTATTCATAGGCGATCGAGGACAGCTGACAAATGAAGATAGCAGTCAACATGAATACCACTTAAGAGAGCATGAACTCCCTCGAGGTTCTCATTGTTTCATAACAAATAGCTACATATTCATTTAAGATATTTGCGTTCAGTCGAAAATGATTAATGTTTCGAGTGGAATCTGATAAATGACATGCATTGAACTACTGGACTATGTTCCAATTTTCATCGATTCGTATGAAATTGTCAGCATGTCTGAATGAAAACATGCATAGTGAGTTCAGAAATCTTGGTTTGCATTCGACTGCACTTTGCAATTTGCTACAACCTTGGGAGGGTACGAATAATTGGAGGCTACAACGAAAAAATAATTTGTATTTAGCCGAAGGCTCTTTCTCGTACTTTTAGAATGGCCAAAGGGGAAATTTTAAGAAGCAAGAGAGTGAATGACAAATTGAATAAACGAATCACATCATGATCTACCCTTACTTTGATCGATCTAATTTCCGATAAATTTGGTTGGAAATGACTTCTCGTCTGAGATCACAATGATTTTGAGGGGGAGAAGTATTTTCAGATAGACGAATTAGATTTATCTCGCACATTCGAAAAC